ACCTATCAGAAGTCATGAGATGTTTACTTTTTAATAACCAAGAACACAGTTTTGTCAGATTATTTCACCTGATAGGTAAAAAAACCAAAAGCCTACAAATTTCTTCAAGTTACTTTTGAACCATTCCCAAAGTGGTTTTTAAATCACAATTTTTGGTATAAAGTGTAGCCGGATGGAAATATCCTTGGAAATGGAATGCTTTGTAAATTTGAGAGGTGATGATTCCGTTTGTCACTAACCAGGATAGCAGGTTATTTAACCTTACTGGCATTACCAGCTTGATAGTGAGTTTCAATAAATACTCATCTGTTTTGTTTGCTGAGTGACCAGTACACTGTGGCCTGTGTGGCTGCAGAAGCCCATTTGGAACTCTTTGGCACAAATAATTGTGGCTTCCTCAGTTGTATGTCAGGACAGAGCATTTTGACCATGTTTAGTAACTATCTTGCCAACAATTTAACAGTAAATCTCCAGTCATTTTTAAGTTGGAAAAAGCAATAAAAAGCAATGTATTTTTCAGTAACTTAACCAGTTGAGGCCCATATTCACTTAGGTGGTTCCGAATGTCTCAGTGGCTGGATACAGAATTTGGCAGCTCTTTGTTCTGATTTTCTTGGACTGACAGTCCTTACTTCTGTTGGAGCAGTTGACAGTTGCAGTATTGACTTATTTACTTCAAGTGGAGTAAACAAGTAGAGAGATAAACAGGATGAGTGTGAGGATTAGTTTAGACCCTGAAGAACACACACAAAATCCTTGAAGGTTGAAAAGTCATGGTATTTCACCAATTAACAGCATTAAAAATTAAACACTTTACTATTAAATCTACAGCAACTCTTTCCATTGAAAGCACTGAATAGCAGGTATTTAATTTAACTGAAACTATCTTTCTGCAAGATCTGGGAACAGATATCTGGGGTGTTTAAGGTGGTTTATTTTTTTGTGAAAAAACTGGCAGTGACCTTTTTATTATGTATTTGCTTTACTCACACTTGAAAACAGTAGGATCAAAATCAATCTATATCAGTGACTGCACACAAATTTGATACACACACAGTCTTTACCCAGAAGAGGTTGTCATGTAAATATACAAGACAAACTGAAGTTGAGAAAAATGGAGAATCGGTATTTCTATTTTAGAAAAGAAACACAAGTGGGAAAATAATCGGCACTTAGACTATTAGAGCTCAGTAGTGTCACTGGAACTTGGTAGGTGAGTTGCTTGTGATGAGTGTTAAGGGTTAATTGTCTTGTTCAGTAGACTTCTCAGAGTCACCCTGGACACCTGGACAGCCTGGAGTGTAACTGGGATCTGTTATGTACTTCAGTGCTTCTCTGAACGGTGAAATCATCCAGCTGTCAAACATGCCTGATGTCCATAAAGCAGTGCACATCATGGAGTTATTAAGGGCCCCAGTTCCATGAAAAGCCAGTAAGGAATTGTTGTGAGGAAGAGGATAGCTGACCAGCTTCAGTAGGAAATGTCCAGCTTCTGTGACTTTACAATAAAATGCTCACAGAAAGGTGAAGAGGAAGTCAAGGTCTGTTGTTTCAGAAAGGGAAAAGAAACCTCTGACCACGTGATTTCTTTCCCCAGAGGTGTGTTCAAATTTGGGGTTTGAATTGGAGGAAATTAAAGGAAGAATGTAATGATGGATGTAGTTTTGTACTTAAGTGCTTTTTTGAGAAATTTTTGCATTTGATGTTTTTAATCAATTTTACAAGGAACAATAAATTGAACTAAATTGAAAGATACATGGAACAAATTTTTAATTTGATTAACCAAGATAACTGTGTGATTAACTATTGTTCCTTTTTCTCATACTCACCATTGATCTCCCTTAGGTACTTTCTGTGTTGCATAGTACACCCTCTACTATAGCGAAATGTGTTGGCTGGTTCAAAAGTGCCTTAATATGTGGGGCACGTTATTTTGAACTTGCTGCTAATGCAATAGGAATACTAATATTTTCTGTGATCTATCATTTGAGCTTCTCATTTATTGCTCCACATATAAGTTATAAGCTGACATGTGAATGCTAAAAATGTATTCAGAGCTTTTTCGGCATTAAATAAGTAAAATATCAACACTAAATCACAAATATTTGCAAACGTTTCAAGGAATTGCAACGTCAAAAACACTGAAGTTCAGCTTACAAGATCCAGTGCTGATAAACAGCTGGTTCTTCAAAGCTGGTACGTGCATAATGAACATTTGCAATCTGCATTGCAGGCTTTTGAGGAGGTGATCGGAACCTGACAGTGATAGTCACATACTGCAATTTGCATTTCAATATATGAACAATTGATTTTAAGTATCTGTAAAAAAATCTTCTCTCCTAAAAATTTGAACAGTGCCTTTTCTGGTGGTGGGCAACAACAGCGTTTTAACTAGGTTAGTCTCACTAGCTCTGAGACCTGTTAATTTCTGTGGAGTTCCATGATGGTGGATTTGTCTTACTACCTTCTTTAGTAGCCACGTGTTGCTATATCCAAATGACAAGCTACTTAAGTAAATTGTTCTGGTCAATTAAAAACATGGACAAACTAATTTTTAAATTGTTTTACATTCAGCAAATGAAGTAATATGTTTAGCTTGAGCTACTAACATCTACCCAGTAAAATGATACCGTTTTCTTAGTAGAAGACAAAATCTTGAACTAACACCTTTGAAAATTACAGACATTCTGAAAAGATTTAAACTGAAAATTGTGCTGCTTCTTGGCACATCTTGGACATCTCCCTGAAAGTCTTGCATGACCATTGAGCAGAGTGGTCATATGAGGAACAACCATGTGAAAAAAACCTGCAGACCTGCAAACTGCAGACTTGTTCATTTTGCACTGAACCATGTGGTGCCCTCCAATGAAGCTCTCATTGACACACTGTATTTCCACTTGAGAAGGAGCAATGAATGGCATTATGATCAGTTTATATCTGTTGTTCAAAACAGTGTAATTTTTACTACTAATTAACTTTCCCACAGTTGTAATTTTAAATATATGTTTAAATGTCTGTAAAAGCTTTAAAGAGAACTTGGAGTCCTGTTTATTTTGCAATCCCACCTAAGGCAATACTGCTCCTAATGACTCTGGGACTCACTTATTTCCTAGGACTTATAGTGTCTCACTATTCCAGACTGCTCAAAGGAAGAAAGGACATCTTTAAAAATGGCAGAAAAGGGTCGTGCTCTCCAGTCTGATATGCTGTGGGAGCTTCCATTTTGTAGATTTGAATTCTATGTTTATTTTTTTATCTCAGTGTGATAGTTTTAACCCAGAAAGCAGCTAAGCCCGACACTTCCCCACACAGTGAAGAAACTTGTGTGTTGAGATAAACAGTTTAATAAACAAAGAGGGAGAAAAACCCTCACAAACTAGTGATGTGAAGGCCCTCACTAACCACCTTCCACAAGTAGACTAGTAGGCCTCGCTAGAGTCCAAGCAATGTCTTCCTCAAAATCCCTTTAATGCTGACCATGATGTTGTACAGCATGGAATATCCCTTTGTTCAGTCTGGGACGGCTGCTTAGGTTGTGTCCCTGCTCAAATTCTTGCTCACCTCCAGAGGCAAGGGAAAGAGAAAGCCCAAACACTGTGCAAGTACTGCTCAGCAGTACAGCAATCCCAGGCAGACCCAGTGCATTCAGCTTCAAATAACGTTCAAATTCAAATAACATTCACAGCCAGTCATCAGCAATGGAGTTGTAGGTGATGGAATGAAGCATGTGTTCTGCAAGTCAAGGCATTTTTGGTACTTAACGCCACATCTGTTCTTCCTGGAGTTCTTGTCAAGCAGATAATGTAGTATTGATATTTTTACTATTAAGCTGGTTGTTTTCTAGTAGAAAACAAAGAGAAAGAAAACTTCTGTGTCCCTTGTTAGTAATTTCATTCTATTGAACAAGAGTGTTTAAGGGAAAAAAGTCATGAGCTGTGGCTCATAGTCTAAAATCACCGATGCCAGCAGTTTCCAAACCATTGCTCTGGTTGTTGTTTATTTAAATATGTAGGTTATTCATCTGCATGTGGAAGGAAGCATTGTAGGGCAAGATAGCAAGCTAAGCAATTAAAATTATCTCCAGTTCCTTTTTGTATTTTGTTGTTATAATTAAATCACTAAAGTATATTACTGGGAATATATTGCTAATAGAGCAGCAGTGTATGCATCTTTTATTATTTAAAGGATATATATACACACATAGTTTTTGGAAATCATACTGGACATGTTCATGGGAGAGCACATCACTCTCACCCCTGTCAGACTTCAACAGAGATGGAACATAGTCATGAAGCTGTAAGAGGGAAGTGCACAGAGATACAAGAGTCTGCATGCAGGTACAGCGTGAACAGATGAAGGTGTGGTAGAATTAGTAAAGTTTCACATTTGCTGTAACTAAGTATATCTACTCTGCAAAGGTCATAGTTTGTGTTTCTTAAGTGCCTGAGTTGTGGCATTCACAGGAGATAAAACCTTTTGGGCAGGTCATTCAGTCGAATGGATCTTGGCATTCTCTGATATTAGCTCTTTTCTTGTTTGGGGGTTGCTTCTAGAAGTGAATCTGTGCTTAGTTGGTTGTTGCTTGAGTCAGGATGTGTGTCCAAGATTTGCTGCTCCTTTGGCTCTCTGCAAGATACTGCAGTTTAATTCAATGAACACTGAGTTAGGCCCATTTAGCGTCTGAGACAAAAATGTAAGTACAGGTAATGCTGACTCATTCCTTTGACCTGCTGGAACAACTCTCACTGCCTTGAAACTAGCTCTTACTGCTAGATCTGTCTCTGTTTCTGTCGCTGCAAACATGAATGATACCTGTCTTGTAAAGCATTCCGAGATCTACTGTTGTGTTATTGTTTTTTATTATTATCTCTGAATTGTCCCCAGTACATTTTCATTAAGTCTTCCACAGAGTTTGGTCCCCACAGAGTGCCAGTGGGAATGTTCTGGAGGATCTTCCTTCTGTTCACACAGTCCTGACATCAGACAGTTCAACACTCTTGGTGCAATCAAATATCCATTGCCTTTCCTCAGGAATGGGCTGAGGGATCTTGGATCAGAAATGGACAAAGGTATTGTTGATGCATTCAGTTGCTGTTACAGAACAGTAAGTTCACTGAATTATTATCTGTGTTGTATTCAAATAGCAATGATTAAAGTCTTACACTTGGCTGAAACATCAAATCTGACATAGGTTAGTTTTAAAAGTTTCTGTTGCAAAAATCCACAAATGTTCATTTGTTTACCTGTTCCAGATAATAGGAAGCTTTCATTATTCTAGGCTGGGAATAAAACAATAGATCTTCAAATATAGTTACTGAATGTGTTTTTAATTTGTACTATTTAGGCTCAGGTTATCCTCCAAAAAGGGTTTAAGCTGAATTAACCTTCTCTAACAACAGTAATTCAAGCAATTTGAATAATTACATAGATAATTTTCCCTATCATCTACTACAAGATGAAAAGGTTCACCCCTCTATGTATGATTTCTGTATCAGCCATCTGATACAGAAATGAGCCTCTCTGAGTCACACAGTATCAATCTGAGATTGCTGCCCTTGAAGGAAATGGGAGGTTTTCAATCAGAGCAGACATCTCCACAAAATTGAGAAAAAAACCACAAACTCTGTGTGTGTTGAAACTGCTGGGTAGAAAAGGTGAGTGTTCAGTGGTAGGTACTGCAGAGGCAATGTTCGTGTCTTCGTTGCTGCTACTGACCTCTTGTATGGGACCTTCTCCCTGTAAGTGGATTACATCGTTTAGCCAGTTTGAAAATCTGAATGGCAGCCTTTGAACCTCAATTCTGTCTCTGTTTAGATGCTCCTGCCAGGCAGAACAGCAGAAATCTATGTTTGTTCTTACTTCCCTTTCTAATTTTTTCTCCTAAAATGCCTTTTGTATGGTGTGAATTAGGACATTACAGGCTATCCTGCAAACTGTAATGTGCAGAGAGAATAGAAGTTACTAATTTCAAAGTAAAATCCTTTCTCTCTTGCTTTTAAAAAAGCCAGCATAGGGGAAAGAAGTAGATTTCATGGCTGACTGTAATGGATTCAAATTATGATGAGTATTGAATGAGCTGCCAAACTCTGTACATCCCTGAAGATTTGTCTTTGGTAGCCAGTTGGCTGGCAAACTAACTCTGTTATGTTATTATCCTGAAAGGTATATGACTTGTTGCTTCACTAACCTATGATATTGTAAAAGGTTCAGGGATATCATTGGAATAGGCTTGAATGCTCTATTTAAATGCATATAAAATGTACATGGATTTGATTTTGAATTCAAATCCATAGTTTCTGACTAACCTGTTTGTAAAGGGTTGGTCGCAGAGAATTTTGAGTAAAATGAAGCTGTAGACTTGTCTTGCATTTGCTCTGAAGATCTTCTCTTTTATTTTTGCCTCCTTGCATTGGCAGTGTTTTTGTGTTCTATTTGGATGCTTGCAGAGGCAGCACAGCCCTTTCTGTATTTTGTTTTGCAAGCTGTTCTTACTGAAGACTTCTTTTTTTCATTTTCTAAATCATCTGAGTCATTAGGCTTATCTTTTTGTGTCAATGGATGTGCACAGTGATGATGAGGCGGAGTAATCCAGCACTTGTACTTGACATTTGTCATGTCAGGCACTTCTCAGCATTTCGCATGTGAATACAATGAGATTTTGCAAAAGCAGCCTGCATTTGCCTAAGTTTGTACTCTTTTAAACCAATTAAACTTAAAATTCTCCCCACACTATATAGGCCTCTGTATTGTATATATTTCTTCATAAATTTTTTATATTTTAAAATTATGCCTTAAGAAACTTAGCATGGTTTTGTATATGAAAGAGTATACCTGTGAAAAATTATGAAAGAATAAAATATATCTCTTTGCCATACTCTCTATTTTTTTTTTTTGTTAAATGGTAAGCTATTTTTAAAAGAAAACCCTATTTCCTGAATATTTTTGGGTTTCTTTTTGCCATGCTTATCCCACAGAAATCTCATGCTGTGAAAGATACCCTTTAATTATCTTGCTGTGTGGAAGTTTCTTCTTGGAAATGGTTGGTGCAATATATGGTAATATTTAATTTCTTGTGATCTGAGTTGAGATCTTGACTTGGGTAAAAACTAATGGGAAGTTTGTAGAGAAAGGAGAACCATCTCTTTGAAGAGGCTACTAAAGAGATAATAGATAGGTGATAATTTAGCAAAATAGGTGTATTCACTTTTTCTGATTGAAGTAAGCAGAGACTCGCTCACAGCTGCTTTTCCACTTTTCTATTTGTTTATTTACCATGAATTCAAACTTTACTTCTACAGCAAACCATATTTGCCAGCAAGGAAACATAGTGATGTTGTCCAAGGTTTACAGGTTGTTCATGGGTTACACGGCTACATTTGCCACCTGTGAAAGACTTCCTGTAAGAAAAAGGCAACTGCTATGTTCCCTCTCTCAGATTATTCCACCTGTAAAGGAGGATAACAACACACCATTTGTTGATGTGGCAAACTTTGAATAAAAAGGGAAAGTCATTTACAGTAAATTTCTACACTTTTTTCCTAAGGCAGATCTTCCACCACTTGGAAGAAGATATGATAGAATGGTGGATGCATCTATTTAAACAGCAATCTGTGTCCAGAGAGAAGAACTCTACCTGTGAGTTACTAAAACAACTAAAGAGAAAAAGGACACAGTGTGCTTGAAGTTAACTGACTCAGAATCAGAATGTTCTCTGTAAAAACTGGGATTTTAACAAACCAAACCAAATCTTTTTCTATCTCTATCTCTATCACTTTTTTCCCTACTGGTAAATTTGAATACTACATTTTGTAAAAATAGTCTGAAATGTTTCATTTCAAATCCACTAAATAACAGATGAAACAGAATTTCCATGTTGGTGAATTTCCCTGTTAGGCTTATTATCAATCAGGAAATGGCCAGATTCTCAGAACTTCTACTTATGAAGAATTGTTATGTAAGAATTAAGCTAAGACCAAATCAGAATCGAGAAGAGACAAGCAATTGACTGAAACACTCGAGACAATTCATGAAGTGGAGAACATTCTCAGGAACCTGATGTCTCAGCATCATCCCTAAGTCAAAAATGAGCGCCGGAATCTGGGGTTTCCTAGGATTCTGCAACTCTAGGATTCCATGGCCATAGGACTCGAGGATTCCATGGCTTTATGACCCTAGGACTCGAGGACTTTCTCCAAGGCAATGAGAGGAGGTTGGTGTTCGAGGGAGCTGCCGCAGTACAGGTGCATCCACCTGTACTGAGAGGCACCTGCTGGGAAGTGACCTTCCACCATCCCCTCAGGTTCAACCAAGGTCTCTCCAACATCTGTCTGCATGGAGTAGAGGGAGAGTTTGACTTAAACTCTCTCTTTTGAGATTGAAAATATATTGGAATAAGCCAGTGTGTAAGGGCCGTAACAGCAGTTCCCGCACAGCACTTGGCAGCTCCTTTCCTGTGAGCAGAAGGCCTGAGCCACCCTGAGGCCAGGCAGTGCAGGTCCTGAGGGCCAACACACAAACCCTTGCATCCAAGAGTGCAGATCCAGCCCTTTGGGCTTTGGGATGTCTTGCTCCTGTGCTGGGCACCCTGTGCTGCTGCTGCTGCTGCTGGTAGTGTGGTTGCACTGGCTGAGCAGAGGCAGCAGCAGCCCTGCAGGCTGTGAGGCACTGGGAGGTCAGGGCAGAGCCCACTGGCCCAGTTTGGGCTTACAGTTGAGGACGGAAATGGAGAAGGGAAACTGCGCACATGGTCTGGTCAGAGCAGGTCCAAGGGAAGGAGGGAGGGCTGACGCACCCCCTGGCCAATGTGGCCAAGGGAAGGGCTTCAGGAGAGCCAGGAGGCCTTGATGGAACCTTGAGGACCTTGATGTAACCCTTCAAGGACCCAGCTGCCAGGCTGGGCTCAGCCCACGCCAAGCAGGATTTCATCAGGCTTTGGCTCAAGACTGTTGGAAGTTTTGAAGTGGTGAGAGTGGCTGGAAACCAGGGCGGTGCTTTCTTGCTCCCCAGCCTGTTTGTGCTCAGCTGGACAACATCTCCCTTGTTTGCCTGCAACCAGCTAGTCAGGCCCCTCCTCTCCTCCTCCTGGTTGGGGGACTTTGCTTTGTTTCCTCTGTCATCTAACAAGCTGAGCTTCTCCTCAGACAGGCTTGTTCATCTTTTGCCGCTCTCTGTTTCACATCTTCCTCACCTGCATCCTCACCATCTGCTGATCGAGTCTCTTTGGGCAGCTGGGTTTTGAACTTGCAGCAACAGGGGTGCACTTAGGAGCACTTATGGACTCCAGCATTTTTGTCAGGGCTAGAAGGAATGCCAAAGCTTTTCTTGCACTGTGGAGCTTCTTTCCTTTCCCTTCCTGAGGGAATCTAATCTGCGTCTTGGGTCATTGCACCTTTCTTTGTCTTTCAAGGAAGGATCTACCATGGCTGCGGGAATCTTCCGAATGTACCTCATGTTAATGGCAGTTGTCGGCGTCAATGAGCCTTTTCTCTCTGGTGAGAATGGAGTTGTTGCCAAGAACGGGGAAGAAATCCTCCAGAGAATGAAGGAACGGGAGGTGAGCCTTCAGCTGCACCAGTTGCGCTTAGAGCAGGAAATTGCAGACCTGGAAGCCGAACAGAAGGCTCTGGAAATGCGTAACTTGGAACTGGAGAGAAAGATCCAGCAGCATATGTTCAACGTCCTTTCCTTGGTCATCTTGACACTGATAAGCCTCTGGAGGCAGAATTAGCAGGAAGTAGCATCAATACAGTGGAGAAGAAGACACTGACACGGTGGTCCCTGGGGAAAACATGGGAAAGAGTGGCCTTCCCTGACAAGGCCTTTTGTGCTGTTCAGGGACATTTACAACCTCTGAGGGAGATTTAAATGACTGCAGGGAATGTGAGCAACTGGGAGTGTGGCAAATGGGGCAGGCAACAGGACATGGCACATCAGAAGTTTGTGGTGCTTTAGTTTGGGGGGCATTTCACACAGGCAGGGCAAGTGGGAATGGGTCTAAGTCACTGCAGCACAGCCAGTGAGCTCATTTGCTGGTCTTTACACTCACCAAGAGAGCTCAAATATGGTGTCTGCTCAGCACAGAGCCAAGTTGTCTAAGCTCACCAAAAACTATGCAGCAATCCAGATAGAGCTCCCAAAAACCCATGCAAAACATGGAAAAAAACATGCATCTGTCCAGCCTTCAGGCTGTAGGGAATGTATAACCCTCTCAAGGGATCGTAGCAGTGATGGCAGTTGCATCAGATGTTTCCAAGGGGACGACCTGCTCAGCCTGGTTATGAGTTACGAGATGAAGTAGAAAGGCTGAGAAACATTAAAGAATCTGAGTGGGAGATAAACTGGTAGGACCATGCTCTGGCCTCCCTAAGACAGGAGCATCCACCAGAAATATTTAAGATCAAGGGGATCCTCTATCCATCCCCCAGCAAGGAGCAGGTACCAGTTTTGAAGGAAGAAATGAATAGAGGGCAGTCCATACTTGGACAGGCAAGTGAAATCCTTCTTCACCCGCAGCACTCCCCCAGGTACCTCTGCAGAATAGGTAGGAGGCTTTGTATGTGGAAGACTGAAGCTTTGTGCGTTATTTCCTATGAGAAAGAGAAAAGCAAGATTTTTCTCTCTTTTGGCCCATCTTACCTATGCAGATGTGAAGGGAGGCCATGCCTCCATTGTGAAGGTGTTGAACATAAGAAAGCCAGTCTGTAATATCAACTGAAGGTTTAAACACAAATAAACCAGGTTTGGTAATTACAACCAACAAGAAAAGCCTACAGCATATCTGCATTTCAAACCTCCTTTCAAAACAAAGACTATAGTATCCCTTTCTCCATCAGGCTTTGCTCATTATGACAGTGTATTTTGTGATAAAACATTTCAGGCAAAATAATTTTCATAAAACAGTCCAGCATTTCTCATCTGAAAATGGGAATTCTGAGCCACCTCACTCGAAAACGTATTTCTCTGGAATAAGTGCAATGGAATAGCCATAGGGTTCAGGGTAATAACCATGGATACCTGAGGATTGTAACAGAAGCAATAAATGTGAACCATCCATTTAAAATGTGATAAGGAAATGTAGTATGTTCCATTAGTCCTTAAAATAGAAAGTCAATTCCACCTCTGGCTTCAGTGGGCTGTGTGGCACTCATGGTTCTTTAGAGGATGCTTAGAATATATTTGTCCAAGGGAAAGAATCAAGGATCAAGAATTTGAAGGACTGAATAAGAACAGTCCACATCAGAATTGAGAAGAAACAAGCAATTGACTGAAACACTCGAGGCAATTCATGAAGTGGAGAACATTCTCAGGAACCTGATGTCATCTCAAAGTCAAAAATCAGCAGCAGACTCTGTAGTTTCCTAGGATTCCATGACTCTAGGATTCCATGGCCATAGGACTCGAGGATTCCATGGCTTTGTGACCCTAGGACTTGAGGACTATCTCCAAGGCAATGGGAGGAGGTTGGTGTTCGAGGGAGCTGCCGCAGCGCAGGTGTATCCACCGCTGAGAGGTACCTGCTGGGAAGTGACCTTCCACCATCCCCTCAGGTTCAACCAAGGTCTCTCCAACATCTGTCTGCATGGAGTAGAGGGAGAGTTTGACTTACACACTCTGGCTTGTTCCAATATGTTTTCAATCTCAAAAGAGAAAGTTAATTTTCTGCACAGCACTTTGTAGCTCCATTCCTGCGAGCAGAAGGGCTGTTGTCCCTAAGCAGGCCTGAACCTCCCTGAGGCCAGGCAGTGCAGGTCCTGAGGTCCAACACACAGTGCCTCGGATCTGAGAGCACACATCCAGCCCTTTGGGCTTTGGGATGTCTTGCTCCTGTGCTGGGCACCCTGTGCTGCTGCTGGCAGTGTGGTTGCACTGGCTGAGCAGAGGCAGCAGCAGCCCTGCAGGCTGTGAGGCACTGGGAGGTCAGGGCAGAGCCCATGTGCCATAATGAAATAAGACAGACTAATCCAATGTAATCAACATTTCTGATTTGTGACAGGAACAACTTTGCAGACACCAAAGTCAGTACAGAAGGAGGGGGGAGGTGCTCCATGCTCAGGGCAGAGATTCTCCCACAGCCCATGGCGCAGACCATGGTAAGACAGCTGTCCCCCTGCAGGTCATACAGGAGACCCAAGTTGAGTTTGTTTTGCCTGTGATGATAATTGGTGAGGAATCCCTGTCCTTATCTCAACTCATGAGGCTTTCATTGTATTTTCTCTCCCCTGTCCAGTTGCAGAGGGGTGGGATAGAGTATCTTTGGTGGGTGCCTTGCATCCAGCCAGGGTCAACCTACCACAGAAAACTACTCGATCCTAAAAATCCATTTCATGTTCAAGGCCATGTATTTCTTTATGCATAACTTAAGAAGTGAATTAACATATAGATTAAGGTTTAGATCAATAAGGATTCATCATTCTCTGGCATTTAAGGCTTTTGAGGCAGAATTGCTACTGAACATAAAATGATACCTTTTCTTGAAACATCTTAGGTGAGATGACCTAGGGGGGTTACAGACCAGTGTCTCAGTATTTCACACCACTAGTTGTTTAGTAATGTTTTGGTCCTTGTGCTGCTTAAGGAGCCAACAACCATTACATTGTCTGAAACATTTTTAACTTGCATTCTAAATGCTGGTATTGTATGAAGAGAATACAGCTGGGGTTTTCAGGGCTTTACTTGTAGGTTTAGGAAAGGATAACCAGCTATCACTGTAGCACTGCAGCCCCAAATGCAGCTCCCTAAATATGCAATTCACAGCGCCTGTTCTTGTTTACCCTGGTGAAAAATGTAAATATGAATTCCCTTCTACTGTTTTCTCTGTTAATGTTCCTACACAGAAGGCAAACTTGGCATCTGTATGACCCAGATACCAAGTTCTGGAATATTTTCCACTTGTAGAATCTGCATGTTGGTTGCTCATTTAAACAATAACATTTTCTGTTACCTAAATTTTAATTGAGCTGTTCTGTTCATGTTTATAATTATGATTATCTGGTGTTTTTCTTTAGCAGTAGGTGCAGCCATAAATTATTATACTAGGTGTAGAATTTCATAATGGCTCAAAAAACTTCTCAGTAAACAGGTTGTATTATAGACAGATGCAATGCAAGAAGTTCTGCAGGATGCTCTTTTAGTTTCAGTCAAAATGCATAAAGGAATATGATGTTGCCACGCTACCTGTTTTAAATGGCACCTTGAACCATCA